AGGTCAGTGAGGTTCTGTAGGTCAGTGAGGTTCTGTAGGTCAGTGAGGTTCTGTAGGTCAGTGAGGTTCTGTAGGTCTATACCAGCAGTTCTGCTGCACATCCTGACAATCCCCAAGAGTTAGTTTTTGTTCTTACAGGTTAAAATGTCAAACCAACAGATTAAAGGTTAAAAGAGACTCAATAAAACACAAATAAAACCTTCTCATGAGTAGAATGGACATTAAAACCACAGAGCTTCCAGTAAAAANAGGTCACAGAGGACCAGAAACCACAGGTCCGAGGTCACAGACGACTAGAACAGGTCCGAGGTCACAGACGACTAGAACAGGTCCGAGGTCACAGACGACTAGAACAGGTCCGAGGTCACACTGAAACACCCCAGCACACACACCTGTAACCCTCAGGTAGTAAATATAATCTTTTCAGTCTGATGTACCTGTCCAGGAGCACCAAGTCGTTCCTCAGCAAACTGCAACGACTCTTCGGCCAGAACACCTGGACCAGACTCCCAGAGTCCAGGGCTGGATCCATATGAAGAGCATGAGCCAGCTGGTTCACCGTCTGAGGGGAMAGGAGGCAGAGTTAGTGCTCAGCAGCAGCTCCACCTGCACAGGTACACGCTGTGGTAGAAGTGCTGGCCTACAGATACACTCCGCCTCTCATTGGACGCCTCAGTGGTCAGAAAGGCCTCCTCTCCGTCTGTTCCCTCCACACTCAGGAAGCAGTTGGTGGTGTGGCCAATGCCGCTGGGCAGAACCCGGTCTCTGAGCATGGCGTTGATCACTGTACTCTTCCCATTGCTGGTCCTGATCATGGACAGGTGCACACAGGTAACTTCACATGAAATGATCATTATTCTCCTTCTCTTCAGACTTGCTGATGGCCTGTTAGACTTTTTCAATAAACTCTGGCTGGTTTTTCAATGTTTGAAGCTGAATATTTTCAGAAGAATGCTTTGAATTCTGACCTCAGTCAGAGGAAAATGTCCCTAAGCTGAAGAGTTGGACCAGACTTGTGTCTCATAACAGAAACCAAAACAGAAACACTTTGGWTCAGATTTGATCAACTCTTGAAGGKCGGTRGAAAGAGTCTCCATCTGTAGAACACAGTGGAGGTGCTGTCATGGTTTGGGCTTTTTGGACAGAACTGTTAGTTGACAACKAGATCAGCTGAAGAATTTAATCTCTGGTTCTGGTTCRGGTTTTGAYTGAGACAGGTCCCCMACTGGTTCAGTCTTTTCAGATGTTTTACAAACACTTCAGGACATAATCAAGATGTGAAAGAAGCCCTCTGCAGCTGACGCTCATCAACATTTCACTGGAAGGCTTCATGTCCCCACTCTGAGAAATGAGTTAGGATCATTCCAACATCTGGAGTTGCCTCATGAAGTTTTAGTTGCCTCATGAAGTTTTAGTTGCCTCATAAAGTTTTAGTTGCCTCATAAAGTTTTAGTTGCCTCATAAAGT